GGAACGCTCCAGGGGTTGCTGCACTTGGCAGCACAACTCCTGCTTCAGCCCTGCCGGCTGCTGTCTGCATGCCCACAAAGTCTCCTGCATGAGGTACCCATCAGCTGCCCCCTTCTCGTTTCAGAAAGCGCCAGCAAATGGAGGTATCGGAGTCCAGGAACTCCATCCTGAGCAACGAAGCTTAGCCCAGAGAGGAGCCAACAACCACCGCTTGCTTCCACCACCCTCACAGGGAAAAAAAATTTCTACCTTTTTCTGCTTCCACAAACTTCTGGGCACTGCTGAGCGTGAGATCAACTCGACCCAGAGAGGCAGGGGGGAAGCCTGGGGGCCTCCGACCTGCTGCAGTTGGCTGAGCAGAGAGGGATGCAAGGCAGAGACCTCCCTGGTCGTTCCACACCATCGCCTCTCACCGTGGGGCACTGCCCCACGCACCCGCTGAGGCTCTTACGGGCACCCCAATGCCCAGGGGCAATTTCTCCCAGTTCTGGTACAAGAACACATTTATCAGTAGGCAGTATGCTGTGTCCTTATACTGTTGCTTTCTAGCATTTTTTCCTAAAAGCTGCCTTTATTAACCATATTCCAGAAGTATTTGTGCTGTTCCACACAGGCTAACAGAACCTGGCCACAATCCATCATACGAAGTGCTAAGTAACACTGAAACTCTGCTGTAATCTGTGGGAGCTGCAGACGTGTATAAAATGAAAATAAAATATTGATGTTTTCGCTAAGAACACGTGTCTTTCCTCGGGATTTGGATGGGTTCAGGGAGGTTTTGGCCAGCTGTAAATGGAAGCTGGAGCACCACCGAATTACTAGAGCTAATTGCAGGAAACACCGAAGCAAAGGAAAAAATGTGAAAGTGTGTTTGTGCGTATACAAACAAGTTCTTACATATTTCATGGAAATAAGCAACTGTGCACATGGGGGTAAAGTGCCCCCAAGCCTCCCAGTCAAAGAGAAAAAGGCAGCCAGTCTCCCGTTGGAGACAGCAGAGTTCAGCCCTGCATAGGAAGGAACTGAGTTCGTGCTCCCGATCAACCGCAAGCTTGACCGTGTGGCTTCAGAAGGTTTGGTTTCACAAACCTCTGCTTCCTGGCAACATTTCGGAGGAAAAGTCTCCGGCAGCTGTGCGTGAGCCAGCCATCAGCTGAGTCAGAAGACAAACCGGCTGGCCGGCGGCTCCATCCACCAAACATCTGCTGGGGCACGCTCTGCCC